GGCTGGGAGACAGGCGCGCGCCGGACGCGGCCGAGCCGAGCACCTCCTTGCCGCTTTCCTCCTCCACGATCTCATCCGATTCTTCTTCGCTGGACGAAGGGTCCAGCATAGTGGCGCCTGGGGAGCGGGGTCTCTGGAGCCCCCGGCTTGGAGTGCAAAAGGTGGGGGGCGCTGGAAGCAGCCGGGGATCAGCTCTCCCGGGTGGGCGCTTCTCCCCAGGTCAGGGAGCGAGAGGGCTGCTGCTCAGCCTCGGCCGCCGCGACTGATCCTCTGCCCGGCGGTCGCGAGCTGGGCTCAGACCCAGGAGCGCAAAGGGAGGAGGGGAAGGGAGAGGTGCGTCCGTGGACTCGAGGTGGGCAAGTGGGAGAATCAATTGCAAGCCCTGAGCCCGCAGCCGGATGCCATCTGCGGCCGCTGAAGGAGGCGCCTCCAGAAAAGATGCCGAGTGTTGCAAGCTGTCGATGCAGCCAAGAGCCGAAGAGGCATCTTGCCGATTGGGGAGGGAGCGGCGCTTACGTGTTTATTGGCTTAACTCTCCCGTGTCCGCGGCGTAAAGGGCTGCTGCAGAGGGCTGGAGCGGGGAGAGCGCGGAACGTCCTCAGAGCCTCAGTACTTCTGACCCCAATACCTTGCCACCCTCCTCCCCTGCCCGCTTCGTGGATATTTTTTTTCTTGATCTCTGGCTCTCATTGCCTCAACCCCATTTCCCCTCCCGCGGACAAAAAGTTCTTGGGGGAGGGAGAAATCCGAAACCAGCCGAGCGGGCTGTTTGGAGACGCTAAATCGAGAGGTCTTACTTAGCAGGAGGAAGTCCGTGAGATCTTATGCGGGAAAGAAAGGGTCCATCTCCTTTCCCCAGGCTTCTTTACACCTGGGGCGTGGGGGGGAGGGGGGGGCTGGGCAGCGTATTTGTCCCACCTGTGAAAACTCTGATTCCAGCAACTTATTCCGCATGCGCCCAGTCTAATTAAAATATAAGTTAATCAAATTTTGAATGGATTGGTGTTTCGACCGGGCAACTCAACCATTTATGTAGCGTCCCCGCCCTTGCCTACCCCCCACCCCCAAAATCTATGATGAATCTTCTTCAGTTCCTAAGACCTGGGAATGCTTTCTGCTGAGGTGAGCCTACTAGAGAAATAGAAGGGTTTCTGGTTGCTTAACCCTCTCTCCATTCTGACTCGGTGGAGGCTTGGGGACCCTGCGATCAGACAAAGACACCCTAAGAACTCAGCGGCGTCAACATCTAATGCGTCGACCGTCGCACTCTCTTCACCCCTGCCTCTTGGGTAAACTATTAATACAAAGCAGCAGATGGTGCCTGCCTTCCCCCTGCTCCTTTCACTTAGGCCAATAAACCCAGTAAACGAGGGAGCTGGCCAGCGTGCTGAATGTAACCTGCGACCCGCAGATGGATGAAAACAAACCACCAGCCACCTTCAGACTTGGCTATCTAGAGACCTCTCCACTTCATCGCCTATATTTATGTATTTTCTAGTTTCCTGATTATCTGTGGATACTCGTGGGAGTGACTTTAATAGTGTAGAATGAGTTTAAAGTTTAAATCACGTTTGTCTTTACGTATTTTATAATTTACCGTGAGTTTCACAGTAAGCTTTGAGAGTAAACTGACCTGTTTGAGACCTGCAGAGGAACTCAAAACAACTCCTTTCACATTAACCCCAACAATTCTGTTTGATCTTTTGAGTTACGTACTTGGATGGCTTATATTTGACTTCACCACCATACCTCAAGGGCACAACTTTTGTGACGATCACACATTTGGTAACAATATAAAAATTTTTAAAACATTGAGCAGTGTGGGGATTGTGACAGTTTTGCAACCTCATTTTTTAATTCTTCTAAAGAAGTAAAGGATGTTCAAATCATGTGGTATTGGCTTTTCTGGAACAGAAAATATAGTAAGCCAATCAATTGATCAACAACCTTTATCCAGCACCTTTTAATGAAGTAATACATTGTTCTAGGTGCTTGGGATAGATAGAATTTTTAGAAGGCATTCTCTTAAAGAGTCTATAATCTCCTTTGGGAGTTACAACATAAACATGTGAAAAAGATTGACAGCACTTATTTTGAGGCAACATATCAACAAATCCAGGTCAGTAAACTGCAAAAAGCTTGCATGAATGAAGCAACTTGAAATGAAGGGAATCATAATTCTCAAAGAAGAGAATAAAATCTTAAGGGAAGAAACCACATACATGGGTGGTGAAAAGAGAAGGTATTGCAAGTGGAAAAAGTGGTTTGCAATGCCATAGTAATAGGGCAAGGGATCAAGTAAGGTTAAAGAGTGTTATGGAAATCAGGTATGGGTAGGTGACAGGAGGAGGAAAGAAAGAGCTGAAATTATAATCCATTTGGCAAAACAAAGGGACCATGTTTAGGACACAAATTAAGGAGTATGTGATTATTTGGGGAAGAGATGCTGTTGAAGGCCAGAAACAGGTCATTTACTGATTAAATATTTCTTCTGAAGTCTCTTTAGGCATTTAAATACTATCACATCAGACATTGGTGGCAAAGTGACCATGAATTCCATCTACAAAAACACTTGGAATTTCGCGATTGCTGTAATAAAGTTTTGTTTGGTATTTTTACAAATTCCTTTGGGATTATGTGGGGTTTTTCCAGGTATAGTCATTAATATAGAAACTTAATATCCACCTTTGGTGAATTACATAAACCTATTATTTGGGTATTAAACATAACATTGCTTACATAAATCTAACAATCTTCTCAATCCCCCCCAAGAGTATTCAATCAAAGAGACTTAAATAGATTTTACCAGAAATACTTCCATATTTTTTTTCAAATGGTGAGCATTGCTGTCTTTCAAAATATACACCCTTTCAAAGACATCTCTTACCTTAGCTGAAAGTCAACTCAGTGTCCTTGGAGATATTCTAACTATTTGTTAGTGTTGAAGATAAGATATGCCAACCAGAACTTTTGAGGCATCTGAAGTAGGAATTGTGACTTATCTAAATGTACGTTTTGATAACCAAGGGAAAAAATGACCATAGAACACATGCAAAGGCTCTTAACTTTTGTCTACCTCTTGTAAATATTTGTGTTCTTATTTTTAAAAATACAATTCCACCATAGATTATGATACACCTAAGAATTTATGTCCTTAAGCTATTTTACGTGCTTGCATGTTTGCCCCATATCCAGTTCTGCTTTGTAGAAAACTTGGATAACCTCAAGATGATGGAATAAGTTTTAATCTACTATCTGGAGACCATATCATGAAAGTAGAAGTTATAACACTGAATTTTGTAATCCTACCCCCAAAATCAAAGTCTGCAGAAAATGGAAATGACTGAGACACTAAGCCAGGATTTCCTAATCTAAACCTAGATGATCTCCATCCTTCTATGAAGTGTTTGCCTTGATGTGTCAAAGGCCACAAGTATGGGGAAATATCTGACTTGCTTGCAACTGATAGTTCAGTAAAAACCAACCTCTTCTTTATGTCACACATAAAACACATTTCAATCAAATATAACTGAATTTAATGCCCATTTTGATGTTTTTGTGGGTTTGTTACTAAAAAATAGTTTAGCTAAGTTAAATCTTTAAAAAATCTCAGTAGACTTCATACTATCTAGATGTAATCAATCTCATCTAATCAATATTTAATTTTGTTTAAATTATAAGACTAGCTTGCAAGCTCCAAAAATGGGTTAATTTGATCTTATAGTGTGCCTGTGTCTTAGGTCAAGTTACATGCTTGGCCTCTCAACCCAAACAGTTCCGCCTCTACCAATCAATAGCAGAGCTATCCTGAACAAACTAATGACTCACATTCAGTATCCTCATCTGTGAAATGGGGGGGTTGGGGGGTGGGGTGGGGTAATAGTACTCACTTCCCCTGGAATGACAAAAAAATAGATGATATATAAAAAGCAATTTTCAACTGATTTTAGCTTTACATTTTTTTCCCAGTGATCGGAGAGGGATGTGCCATAAATGAGATGACAAGAAATTGGACATGAATAATTAGAAAGAAAAGAACATAAAAAATCAAATAATTCAGAAGTAGGTCCTGAAAAATAGAAGAGTTGCTTATTTATTTACTTGATGCCTGTCTGGTTTTAGATAGTATTGTCAGAGACTTAGAAATGGTCTATTTTGTTTGAGAAACCTACTTTTCATCATTACTCTTTATATCATATGATGATTCTTACTAAAGTAAAATGAAGCAGGTTAGGATGAAATTAAAGGATCATCAAAAGGCTAAAAATATAAAAATCAAGCCACACTAAAATATCTTTCACTCTATGCAACAAAACATGTTTTGGAATGATAAATAATATTACTTGCAAGAATTGGTCTTGGAAAGCCACTCTCATTACTTAAGAAGATGAAAAATAAAAGTGGGACAACACATTTTACAGTAAATATTTAAGTCAAATTCTGAAAGCCAACTATTCACAAGAGTAATCCTGTTTCTTGTGTACACAATTTCTTTTGATAGAAGTGAGAAATAGATGTGGTATGGATTGAAATGCAGTTTACACTGGTATTTACATGGACAAGATGGAGAGTTTTGTCATTTTGCATTGACTCTGAAATACAGTGACATACCAGCAAATAAAAGGGATAAAAAGTACCCAAGTAGCTGTTTCCACATCATAAAATATTGGGTAGATAATCTGCCTAAGTGGCCTAACTCTCCAATTAGGTTTGCCTTGATAAATGCTAACAGTACATCTTCACCTTCTCAAAAGAATTTTCTGAGTTGATTGTCTGGTTTATGGTTATTTATTTTCACAAACTACAGTGGCTTTGGACTGGAGGCTTTCTTCAGATTGTAAATAGGAATAACTGAAATCAGGGTATTTTCATAATAATCAATTTGTTTTCAGTTTTAAATAACTGAAATGGAGAGTTCCTTTGTTTAGGCTGCCCTAAAACAGAGGGGTCTTACCCAATTTTTTGAAGGAAGAAAGTAAATAAGAAAAGGAGATTGAGAGAGGCTTCATGAGTAAAGGAAAACTAAGAAAATGTAAGGATGAGTCCTGATCAAAGAGTAGATACTGTCATCTGGGTTAGGGGACATTAAGGGCAAATATATTGGGGGAAATTCTCTAAACCAGCCCTGGTCACCTAGGTGCCAAACCAAACTAACAAAAGAGAATTTCATCTATTAAGGCCTGGGCCCTGCTCTTGGGAATGTACTTCTTCCTCTTCCTCTTCTTCTTTTTAGAGTGACACTGACTTTCCATTTTAGAGTCCACTATTCCAGCCCATTGTCATAAGAACTCCATCACTCTTCTCGTTTCTTTCATCAATAAGAGCCTTCTGTCCCAGTCTTTTCCAAAATAGTATTTGTGGAGATACTGACATGCTGTTATTTTTCACTCAGAAGTTGTACCTAATGATTTACCATGAGAATCAAGGGACTTCTAAAAGAACTTGGAGTTGCATTATGATAGTTTCATAT